GATTCGAACCCGGTTCACCTTATGGAACGCGAACGCTCTCTGAGCCATCGCGGCTCTAACCCTGAAGGATTGAATTTTTTGTTTCGTCGGATCCCCAACTTTATAAATAATGATGCATATAAAAACATTAAAAGCTCCCGCTTTTAATGTTTGGAATGGATTTTTTTAAAAATCTCTTTTGCAGTCATTATCTTAAATTAGATTTCATATCGGTCAGTTGAATTCACTGCATTTAATTTAGTTTTAAGTTTATTTTGGGGGTACAGCGGAAAAAAAAAAAAAAGAAGAAGAACGGGCCACCTTGAATAACTTTTGATCCAACATCGGATCTTCACGTTCTAGGACTCACTCTTTATGGTTCGAGGGGTGACCTCAAATATGTTAATGAATGAGTACATACGATATTTTAAGTTACGAAATCAGACGCAAAAACGCACTTTCTCTGAATGAACATACCTTTTTTTGAGGGATTTCTGACCCTCAAAATAAAGGCAATCTGGGAAGCATGGTTTCCGTAGTTTGATCAGGAGAGCGAGCCAAAGTTTGGACCCCTTAATGTTAATTTTACCTTTTGCGTATTTCGAAAAAAATCTTTTAAACTTTTTAAGCGAATCGAAAGGTTTTTCCTCATAATTACAAATTTAGTTTATCTAAAGATAATTTCATTAAAAAAATTAATTTTAGTAAATATTAATTATTTTTTATTACTTGATTTAATAATAGTCGAAAAAAATTTTAACTATAAATTGAATTGTAATGTGTACAATTTTTTACGTTATTTTAAAGTATGTAATTTTATATGCAAAAATACAATATTTGAGCGATATCGGTCGAATAGTTCCTGTGAAATCGAATTTTATGAAAGTCGTATAGTTAAAATTCGATTTCTCGGGAACTATTCGGCCGATTTCGCTCGAATCTTGTATAAATATTGACCATACAATTCAAATTTTTTTCGTCTATTGTCAACTTAAATAATTAAAAAAAAACAAATACTTATTACAATTTATTTTTTGTATGGAATTATTTTCAAACAAAGGAATTTTATAAATGTCCGCGAAAATTTTTCAATTCGCTTAAAAATTTCTTTATTGTGAATTGCGCAAAAAAGTAAAATGAACATTAATGGGTCCAAACTTTGGATGGCTCTTCTAGCTAAAATACAGAGACCCTATTTCCCAGATTCCGGCTATCCCCTATGTTTTGGGGATCAGAAATCCGAATCCGCTGGAGAAAAAAAATGTGTATGATGTTTATTCTGAGAAAATACGTTTTTTTAAAAAAAATTTCTTTATCTGATTTCGTAACTTAAAGTATTGTGCGCACTAATTAATTAGCCTATTTTAGGTTACCCCTTTAAACCATAGATTGATTCCTCGAACGTAAAGATCCAATCATTAGATCAAAAGTTATTCAAGGTAATCCCTTTTTTTTTGCGCACTGTGCAAAAGCGAAAATGAAACAAGTTATGCTTTTTGTTGGAATGAAAACTAAAAGAATTGTTTTAACGGAGCCTTTTCTTTACATAGACTTTTCTTTACATTCCAGGTCAACGAATTTAATAATATTTTATTTTAATTTGAAAAGCGCGATAGGAAATATTGATACAACTTTTTCATAGATGTTATTTGAAACATAGTATTTTTTTAAACAAAGCATTTTCCTATATTTCATTCGCCCTTTACTTTACATAATTTTATAAAGACATCTGAAAACGAAATCAATCAATAATACATTTGTAATTAGATCTAAATAATAATAAGGTTTCAAAAATCATCACAGTTAGATAAACAAAAGTCCTAATTCTCGGAACACCATTTGGGGTTCCCAAATGGTGTATGTCATTTATGTAAATGTACTTTAAAAAAGAAAAATTAAATACGTCGAGAGTTGTCAAGCTTTTTGGATAAAATTCTGTTTCTTTTTTTTAATATCAGAAACGAAGCAAGAATTTCTTAACGCATGGTTATGTGATTTAATGTGTTTAAACGACTTACTTACTGGTATAAATCAGAAATTTCAAGCAGATCAAAATCACAAGATCTTTAGAGGAAAAGTTTGAGATATTCTGAAAAGATCTTGAAACAAAAAATTCCCGTCGCTTAAAACACACTTGGAGTTTACATAGAGTTTCTCTGATAAAATATCATCTGAACAAAAAAAAATACTCAAGAACTATTTAGATATCTTAGAAAATTCAAAGGATACAGTGTTAGCATGATTTTTTCCATTTCAAGAAAGCGTTACAGTTTATTTTAAGACACATTGCTAAAGGGGATGAATTCTGCTTTTTTCTTGAGTGGTTAAAGTTAGGAAATAGAATTAATAAAATTCCAAGAAAATTCTTCGTGGGGGAAGAAATTTGTGAAATTAAGTGAAACATAAGGAAAAGTAGAGAGATAAGATTACATATATGATATTCATACATCAGAGAACTTAACAATGGTACAATCTTTTTCAAAAGTTTTCAGACATGGACACATTTGAAATTTTTGCTTCTTACATTATTTGAGTCTTCATAGGTGTATGAATACAGGTAGGTCTTCTTATCAATGAACTCAACTGTAAGGAACAACCGCCTTGGTTTATAAGGATTAATGCATTGGGTTTAAGCAAAGTACGTGTTTTATTAACCGCTTACCTTATCAATTTTTTTGAAGGGAAAAAAAATGCAAAAAATCAACATATTTTTTTATTTCATTAATAAATACAAGGCACTAAAACGAAATCTAATACACATATTATAAGTTGAAATTTTAATATTTTTATGTATAAAAAACATTTAATTTACTATCAGTTTACTATCCAGAGTTATCAAGGGGAAAAAAATTAAATATGAGTCTTTGTAGGATAGTTTTTAAAACAAGGAACAACACAAAAGTGATACTTTCCAAACACCAGTGAAGTAATTCGACATTATTTTACCCTTTTCTTCTACGTAAATTCAGCAACCATTGTATATAAAATAGCACAAAACACGTCTGCAGTCACACAATCCAACAGCAAAACATCCAATCTCAGTAGATTATTATTTTTTTTTGTTGCTTCCGGCCGAGTAAAAACGTCATAAAACTAAACGTACTGACAAATTCTGCTACGCCCGAGTTATCTCGGGTTAATAAATATTTGCAATCTATACATACCCGAGTTAACTCGCAGACAATCAGGGAAGCGGTTAAAAAAAAACAGCCTATTCAATTCCAATCAGCAACAGGTGTCACACTAAATGAGATTCAGGGCACGCGTATTTTTAAAGCAAATTATTTATTTATATGAATAAAATATTTTGCTCATGGTAAAAGGTTCGCCATTCCTGGTTTAGATTTTGTCAACTGTAATCGCTATAAAAACAAGTTACTTTCCCCAGAATGTATTCTAAAACTAACTCATATAATGTTTAACAAAAGAGTGAGACGATTTTCATCGAAGGAAAACCGTAATCGATATTATAATAATCGATAGTTTATCATAATGTCTGAAAATCACGCGATTTTTTTTTTTTATCAAACCTTTAATCATGTTTCTTTATTTCTCTGTCTGAGCACGATATTATTTGCCATCTCGTAGGTTTTGGTCTAAATGTGGCTGAACTCTAAAAGTGCTAGATCAATAATTCCATTAATCCCTTCATATTTTATTTTCTCCTCAAAGAAACACAGTGACTCATAACTCACGTGACATTCACAATCACTCGGGCGGAAACGCATTATAGCATGTCATAATTACCTTGCTCTAAACACAATTGAAAATAAATAACTTGGAAGACCATATTGTCTCCTTGTGTCTACTCGTTTTAGAAATGTAATTTTAGGCTTTTTTTTTCTTTTTCTTAACCGTTTCCCTTACACATTTTTTTGAAAAAAATTGCAAAAAATCAACATATTTTTTTTTAAAATTCATTAATAAATACGAGGAACTAAAATAAAACATAATACACCAAGTTCTAAGTTGAAAATTTAAAATTTTTAATGTGTGAAAAATATCTAATTGACCATCAGTTTACTATCCCAAATGATCTCAGGTAAATGAAAAAAAGTTAAATATTAGTTCACATCTTCTATATATGTTCACATCTTCATCATCTGAAAAATCATCTGCATTCTTTTCACTTTCGCTCGCGGGAGCAATTTTTTACTCTTTTTTTCTATGTAAACAACTTTGTTTTTATGCGACTGAAACCGGTTTGAACTTGTTTACGTTCGTGTATTTATTGGTTAAATTAGACGGTATATAACATAATTTGACGAGAAGACAAATTAGACGATATATAATATAAATATAGAATATTTATTATATCGGGTATTATATTTGTTTATTATTATAATAATTAGACTAAATGATTAGACGTACTGTTTAATAATGACATGATTTGCACGAGTTTATAGGCAATACTTTTATATTTAAACATACGACGGGAGCGTAAACAAATTCAAACCGGTTTCGTCTGAGTAAAAACAACACAGGGGCCATTCAAAAAGTACGTACATCCCGAAGGGGGGGGGGAGGGGATTTGCTATTATGTACGGTTTTGTACGATGGGGAGGGGGGGAGGTATTATACAAAGTACGTACTTTATAAACATACACCAAATTTAAATTTGACTTTATCCTACACCCTCCTTAAGTAAATATTTAATTTTATTTAAAACATAATTATTTTAATTTTTATGAAAAAGGGGGGTAGACTAATAAAATGTACGTACTCTAGGGGGGGGGAGTAAGACCTTATGTACGGTAATGTACGAAGGGGGGGGGGTTTAAAATTTCGCCATTTTTGTGTACGTACTTTTTGAACGGCCCCACAGCTGTATAGAGTATCACCAGATAATTGTAATTTTACATAGAATCTTATAGTGAGTCTAATAATATGGGCTATGACTGTATGTTCTATGAATGAGTTATTTGCTTTAAATGTGTTTTGACGTTATTTTTAGTGGTGTATTTTCAATACCAATTCATTTTGCCTGATTTCCTGTTACTAATTTCTTCTTGTTCTTGTAGACTCTCGGTGCTGCCATTACTGCCCTGGGAATATGGGTGAAGACTGATGGTGATTTCAGCAAGATCCAGGATAACTTGGATGTTAAAGAATTCACCACAGCAGGATGGATCCTCATTTTTGTCGGCATCATCATTATGCTGATAGGCTTCATAGGATGCTATGGTGCCATAGCATCTCAAGTCTGCATGCTCATCATTGTAAGATCATAACATTTCAATTGATTCTCTTGAAAATGTCCGTTGTACCAATTAAAGAAGAAGAAAATGGATGAGGATAGACCTGTTCGAAATGCTAAAAGAAACGGAAAATTTATATTCACTAAGTTTCAAAAATAGTTACGTGGATCGTGGACAAAAAAACGAATTAAACAATGCTTTCCGCTGTAGGTCAGACAAATTCTAAATGAAATAGGCGCCTGATAAAAATTTTTTTTTTAGATTGATAAAAAATGTTGAAGTAAAAATGGTACGAGTAGCTGTTTTAAAAATATTCTTTTCCAGTTTTTCTCAATTAACAGCACCAGAGCTGCGATGGCTCAGGGGATAGAGCTCGCCTGCCAATGAGGCGAGCCGTGGTTTGAATCCCAGTCGATACGAATTCCGCATCCGACTTGCACCGACCACAGCGGTGACGTAAAAATATCCTCAGTGGTAGACGGGTTAGAGTTCCTTTGCCGTCAGGCTAACCGTGGGAGGTTCTCGTGGTCTTTTTCCCTATGAAACGCAAATATGGGTTTTCTCCATCAAAAAGTTTTCCACGAAAGCAAATTTCTCTTAATACTTGATCTAGGAGTTCCCTTGTCTTCTGTATTGGGTTCAAAATGACAAGGCTACAGAGTTTAGTAGTCGTAAATCCAAAAATTGGGTCGGCTGTTCAAAGACGGTTCTAAAATTATAAAATAAAAAATTAACAACACCAGAGCCCCCGTTGGCTCAGTGAATAGAGCTCTCGCTTTCCAATGAGGCGACTCGGGTTCGAATGCTAGCGATGGCTAGTCAATACGAATTCCGCACCCAGCTGGCACCGGCCACAGTGCTGATGTAAAATATCCTCAGCGGTTATGTATCATGGGTTAGTCTTTTTGCCGCCAGGCTAACTATGGGAGGTTTTCCTCTCTATGTAATGCAAATGCGCTCCATCAAAAAGTCCTCCACTAAAGCAACTTTCTCCCCATACTAGAAGTTCTCTTGTCTTCCATATTGGGTTCAAAACTACAAGGCTACGGAGTTTAACATCAGTTGTTGTAAACCCAAAATTGGGTCGGCTGTTCAACGATGGTTAAAAAATTATCAGCGCAAAGTTAAGCGAAAATAAATTACTTACGTAAATCGAACGCCGGTATTATCTCCTTCAATTTTTCTTTAATTATTTTTTTTCGTTATTTGGGTATTCTGCATTTTTCTCTTATAGGTTAGATTCTGGAACTATAAAACAAATTATTAATTTTCATTTATTTTCTAGGTTTAAGAATAGACAAATAATTTTTACAAAATTGCTTTTTTTTTCATGATTTTTTATCTAAATAAAAATTCAATTAATAATGATATTATTTGGTAAATTTTACAATGCGGTGTTTCTGTAAAGAGTCATTAAAAAAAAAATCCGTCACAAAAACTCTTCAATTTCACAAATTGTAATTTTTCTACGTCTTATCATTTTGCGGCATTTTCACGATTAGCAAAGAGGGCCATTACTAAAGATAGACAAGCAGCGGTTGCACACTCGCAGCAGTCATGAAAATGGCATATTATTCATTAAAAAAGTGATATTTCGTAGCATGCCTTCGAATAAAAGCTAACGTTCAGAGAGTGAAAACAATCTTAAAAACCGTTATTCATTAGATATGCCTTATCTTTTTCTGATTTTGTTTTAGCTTGTGATAAAACCTCTCTGGAAATATTTTATGCTGCGAGACCCGCATTATTTTTGAATATTTTTTGAATCATTTCTTTTTTTACTAACTATTTCTACATGTAGTGTTCATTATTTAAGTTAAATTTGAATATTATAACTAGAACACATTTTAAAGCACTGTGTGTTTCAGGAATTTGATGAACCTATGTTATATTTAAACCCTGTTCATACCCTTAATATATATATATCTATATAATAAGGGTGGTGATGACTGAACACCGTGCATGTGTGAAATAGAATTTTTTTATTGAGTAAAATGAATAATTATTGTTGTTAGTGCAGGGTTGCCGCACCTTGAAATATCGATCCTTTTCCATCAGTTTTTAAATTTTTCTGTAATCTATATACCCTATAGTGATACTATTAGTCAGTAACTTTGTTATTTTTTCCTCTAACTCTTTTTCCATTCAGTTTTTAACTTTATACCTTTTTTTACAGTTCACAGTTATTGTAGGCATTGTTTTGGTGCTGGAGGTAGTTGTTGTGGCTCTAGTATGGACAACAGTTACAAACAAAAACGTAAGACGAAAAGATGTTTTCATTTTTATTCTCGTTATTTAATGTTCATCAGTTAAGAGCATTTGATCTTTTATTTAATTAATAGTTAAGATTCCCTTTCAGCCAAAAAAAGAGATTTTACTAACTCCACGGGAAATTTATTTGTTCAGTAGTCAATTTTTGTTTCATTTCATTCATTGAAATGTGCTTTCAAATTTTAAGTTTGTAAGTTTTTTATATATCTATGTATATATTTTCTATAAGCTATTTTAAAATTTTTTACTGTCAGCTTTTTAAAATTATTTTCCTGTAAAATTTTTAAAATTTTTTGTTTTGTTAAGTTGTTTCAAATTTTTTTTCAAAGTTTAATCTTGAAAATACTTACAAACTAAAAATTCAAAATTTACTAAGTTCAGTAGAATACATTTCGATGAATATTTCTAAATTATTCAACATTATTAATTAGTTATTGGTTTCAATAATTCAAGAATATTAATTAGTTGCTACATAAGTAAAGAACGCTCGGGCATATAATTGTCCGTAGATTGACATGGAGGAGGTAATATGGAGGAAGGAATAAGTTCAAAATGTAGAGATAACATGGAAAAATTACAGAACAATGAAAAAAGGAAAAAATTGAAGATAATAGTAATGAAAATAATAGAAATCCGGAAAAAATATCCAAAAAAAGGATAAAAAATTTATAAAAATCCGGAAAATAAAAGATGTAATCTTTTCATCAGCTCACACGATTATATCCGCAAAAAGGAGTGCATTCTAATATTGTATCAATGTAGTCAAAGCAAAATATATCAATACAATAGTGTGACGATCACTCAAAAAAAAAATTTACGTAAAATTTTGGAGCAAATAAAATAGAACACATTAAGTAAAAATACCACTTAAAAACAGAAAATAAAATGTTATAAAAAAACAGAATAAAACATAAACGGAATCTATGAAGCGAGTAGCGAATTCAAATGAACTTACATGAACGGGAAATTTTTCAGGAATGATTTAAAATATTTTCCGTCCCGCAGTGGACTGATCGTTAATACACGGTTCCCAGCAGATCACCTAAGTCAAGCATCACTGGCTGTGGTCAGTGTGCTGGTGGGTGACCACTTGGATGAGTCTGCGTAGGGACCGAGACTGTGCAGTATTGGTCTCGTTAAACTGTTCTACAGTAAAGCGCTCGACTTCGCGTGCAGGTCATCGGGCTACCAAAGTGGGGGTGCTTCCCCTCTGCAGAGGATAAAAATTGCGATGGCATGTTTTCGGATCATCCTCAAGGATGTTTTCCAGACCGTCGCCAATAGCCCATTGTGCAGCTCTAGTGTGACGTAAATGAACTACAATTACAATTAAAATATTTTGGTTACAAGATTGCCAGATTACAAACTATTAAAACAGAAGCACAAATTGAGGTAAAAGCGTAAGTAGAGGGATTTTGTTTTATAGTGAGTTCTTACTGTAGTTTACCACAGCAGGATGGATCCTCATTTTTGTCGGCATCATCATTATGCTGATAGGCTTCATAGGATGCTATGGTGCCATAGCATCTCAAGTCTGCATGCTCATCATTGTAAGATCATAACATTTCAATTGATTNGGAGAAAGCTAAGCAAGCTTTTAAAAAGCCTTAAGTATTTTTTTATGGAACTTGAAACGCGTTTATCTCAGAAGCCCATATTTCTGAGTGCTTCCCTTAGTTTTCGGAAGTTCCATACAAAATCCAAAGTCGAACATGTATACAAAATTGTATTTAATTTTACATGCGAGTCTGCAATTCGAGTATGAAAAAGGAATGAAAATGGATCCTAACTTATCAACTAAATGTCGATTCGTAAACACGCGCCATTTTCAATCTTCATATAACTTCCCTTCCAAATTTGTATACTAAAGAATACAGATTTCTTTATTACAAAAATATCATCTTGTTTATTGCTTGTTGTCCTAAAGTTGGCTAAGCAGTTTACTACATTTTTCCAAGTCAAAATCAGATTTCGTGAATAAATATTAGCCCATTTTTTTCCAACAGAACTAGGTAAATGTGACTGAAATGTTATAGTACGTTAAAATACCTTTTCTACAAATTAAGAAAAATGTCAACAAAAAAAAAGTTTTTTTTATGGAGTTCCTTGATGGTATTTTTGTAGGCCCCATTGTTATACGCTTGACAAATTCTTTCGAGTCACGTTATACGCTTACAATAATTTATAAAAAAGTACGCCTCTGGGAAAAAAAATTATCCAAAGGAACATTCCTTAGTAATTACTAGAAATTATAATTGCTATTGTATTCAAATGTTACCATAGCACTGAGATAATCTTATTTATTTGCAGACACAAGAAGACATAAAACTGAAAGCTAAGCGAGCCATGATAAACATAGCAAGAGATGATAAGCAAAGAGAGTTCATCAATTTAGTACAATCAAAGGTAAGTATACTCTAAAAAAAAAAAAAAATACGAATACTAATCTAGTTATGCACAGTTGCGGACACCTTAATAACTTCTCATCACATTTTTACACTTAATTTTAATGGTTCGTCTGTTTAACCTTAACATAAAATATGTTAATTAATTTCTGCTATTTTAAATGACGAAAACAGACACAAAAACGGACCAATAAAGATACCTTTTCGAACGATTTCGGACTTTCAAAAAGTAATTGAGGCAAGAAGCCTTCATGCTAAAATCAATTCTCCCGTGTTTCCATGCAGTCGTATTTTTGAATTTTTATTTCTCAGGGGCTATTCGACCGATTTTTCTAAAACTTTGGATTTATGACTTTAAATTACGTAAATTTAACGGGGAAATTTTTTTTATATCTTACAATTAAGGTCTATTTGACCATTAATGAATAAAATAATAGGTTATTAACCGCTTCCCTTACCAATTTTAAGAAGAAAAAAAATGCAAATTATCAACCTATTTTTTTTTTATTTTGTTAATAAATAAAAGGAACTAAAACAAAACATAGTACGCAAGTTCTAAGCTGAAATTTTGATTTTTTTTTTATGTGTAAAAAATATTTAATTTATCATCAGTTTACTATCCCGAGTTATCTCGGGCAAATGAAAAAAAATTAAATATGAGTCTTTGCATAGGTTCACCTCTTCATCATCTGAAAAATCATCCGCATTACTTTCACTTTCGCTCAAGAACGCCATTATTTTGCTCTTTTTTCTATGCAAATTCAGAAATCATGGTATTGCACAATTCTGAATTTGCATAGTATTGCAATTGTATTGATAGATTCAAATACGTCATACAATTGCACAAAACACGTCTGCAGTCCCACAAACAGCAAAACTTCCAAACAAATAGTGGCACAGCAGACTATTATTACTTTTTGTATTGCCGAATAAAAACGTGATAAAACCAAACGTATTGACTCATTCTCCTATGCCCGAGTTTACTCGGGATGACGAATATTTGCAATATATACATACCTAAGTTAACTCGGGATAATCAGGAAAACGGTTAAAAAAAGTTAGGCTTTTAATGTAAATTAGTTTCCGCTAGATTAACGAAATTTATAATTGGATGCAAATATTTTTTGATTCGTTTAAATAGTACCAAAGGTGTGGGGAAATACACAAAAAGTGGTTTTGGCAATACATAATTTCGCCCCCTCTTATTTTGAGGTCTAAAATCGGATTCCGCCCCCCCCCCCAAAAAAGAGAAAAAAGGAGTGTTTTCAGTACTTTCTGATTTCGTAAATTGAATTATTGTCTGCATAAATATAGTCAAAATTGTGGCATAGTACGTGATAATTGATGTTCGAAAGCTATTAAGTTGTTTACTTCCCCCCCCCCCATATCTATAATTGATTACAATGTTAAACTTTTAACGTATCATTTAAGAAATCTTTATTTTCTACCATGTTACAATACTGCCTTCGGTTGACATTATTAATGCTATTTGTGGATTTATTTGGAAGTTTCAATTCGTTTTTCTATGTTCTATTTTACATATTAATATTTTTTTTTCCAATCGTTTATATCTTAAATGTAAATATATTTTTAATGTGCTGTCACAATTGCATTTTATTATTATTATTATTGTATGCATGTTATACTCATTGAAATAATTATAATTACCAAATACTTCTGGAATTATAAATTTAAAGTATTTATTAATTCTATGTTATACTCATTAAACTAATTACTAAATGCTAGTAGGATAAACAATCATTGCAGACTTGATTGTATACCCGTTAAACTCTTTACCCTATTACTACTAAGATTTTTTATTAATTGAAAATATGTTCCAATCGTTGTATTATTTATTAAAAAAAAGAAAAAAAAACATTTCAAGATTATTATTGCAATTATATTCATCAAAGATTATTTTAACAATTACATTATTATTTTGGAAATAATTTCCTACAAAGAATAAAAATTGAAGAAAGTCGCTATTTTCTTACATTCATACAAATAGAATTATTTTTGTAACAAAAATAATACTACACAAGGGACCAAAGAAAAAAAAACTATTAGTAATTTATACATTTGCATATATTTTAGAATTATTATTGTTTTTAGACTTATTTTACTTTATTTTTTTGGACATTTTTATTGGTTTTTATTTATTTATTTTTTCATTTTTAAGTTAGCAAAGAGTATCTTTTTAAAAAAACTTGCATTTTAGAGAAATAAAATTTGCATTTTGTTATTCAATGAAACCAACCCATTTTTAAGAGACGAAAGAGTATTCCCTAAAATTGTTCATTTTAAAGATGAAAGAGTATTTAACATTACTGTTTATTTTGAGAAGAGATTATTTTACCAAACTGTTCATTTTTGAGAAGGTATAGTATAATTTACACAGCTGTTCCTTTTTAAGAGGAGAGAGATTATTTTAGAAAACGGTTCCTTTTTGAGAGCAGAAAAGGTTTTTATCTAAATGTGTTTATTTTTGAGGAGAGGACAGTATTTTATAAAACTGTTCATTTTTGAGAGAAGAGGAAGGATTTTTGAAAATCGTTCAGTTTTGTAGAGAAAGATTTCAAAGATCACTTGATTTTTGAGAGGAGAAAGTATTTTACAAGCTTCATTTTTTTTTATTAATGAAAGAGAATTTTATAATGGTTTGCATTTGTAGAGAGAGAGAGAGATAATTTTACTGATTATTAGTTTATAATTTTTTTTTTATAAAAGAATAGCGTTTGCGGGCTCTTTATCTAAATTTCCATAATGTGAAAATGATTTCACGCTAAAATTCTTCAGTGGCTGAAAATACTTTATTAGAACACATATCTGTGCCACACAAAGCAAACAAAAATAATAATATTAAAATAAAGAAATAATATCGAATCAAAGAATGAAACTAATATAAAATAAGGAAATAATTTACATCGTGCCCACCGGCTTTCTCTCTTAGTCCCCTTTAATAGTTTTGTTTTTTAGCTCGCTCGTAGCGCCATCTAGATGTGAAAAACCTTACAAGAAGCATTTACAAAATATAACATTTTTAAGAGAGGTTTTTCTTAAATGTTACATTTGTGAAAGAAGGAAGTATTTTACAAATTTGCAGATTTTTGAGACGAGGGTATTTTACTTCAATTTTTATTTCTGTGATAGTCTTTTACAACGCCATGCATCCTTAAGAGCGAAAAAATAAAATTTTCGAATTATATTTTGAGATAATGTAATTTTTATAACAAGGTATGTACTATGTATCATTTACAATTTTTGTTAGAGAGAGGGGGATTAAAAAAGTATTTTATATTTTGGTAGAGGAGAGAGCTTTTCACAAAGTTTTACACTTATGAGAAAAGAGGGCATTTTATAGATTTGAAAGGGTATTTTATATATTATATACTTTGTATATTTGAAAAGAAAAAATAATAATTTTAATATAGCAATCTTCCATGGCTTTCTGTTTTTTTTTTTTTTTTTTTTTTTTTTTTTTTTTTTNTTTTTTTTTTTTTTTTTTTTTTTTTTTTTTTTTTTTTTTTTTTAAATAAATTATCCAATTAAATTTGATTCTTTTAATATATTATTGAGTTTCTTAACAGATGTACAAATGTACATTATTCGAAAATAGTTATGTGCTAAACTATTGATTGTAATGTGACACGTCTTTACACACTTCATTACCAGTTAATTTTATTTGCAATAAGCAGGTAGCACTATTATTTGGTGCTAAAAATCAAAACAAGTCGCAGAAAAATCAAATCCGTCGAAAATCCGTAACAAATCAAAACAAGTCACAGTGTTCTAAAAGAATACGCACTGATAACTATAAAAAAACTAAACTTTGTAACTATTAACCTCATAAACTACATAACTAAAATAAGAAAGAAACTGTAATATAATGTATTTTTTTATGTGAAAGTTTTCTATTGATGAATTCTTTTAGAAGAAAGTTAAAAATTGTTTATGTGCTGTAATTGTAGCTCCATTGCTGTGGTATAGAGGGACCAAATGATTATACTGTTGATCCAGAACACACTATATCAGTGCCGGATTCATGTACAGACGAGAAAACAGGAGGATATTATCAACAGGTAGGCTCTCAACAGCACGTTTTACACAAAAATTATTTCTTAGTTCACCATTAACTCCATAGGGTGATTGTGAGCCCAACTCAAAAATCCTGAAAATTTCTTGAGTAAAATCATTAATGACCCATTTCTAAAAATTTATGTCTTTATAAATTTAAATCATTGATATTTTCAAAATTCTAAATAAATTATCTGCAGCATGATTTTATTTTTTATATTTTATATCCGTCGTGGAACAGCCGACCCAATTTTGGGTTTACAACTACTAATGTTCAACTCCGTAGCCTTGTCATTGAACACAGTCCAGAAGACAAGGGAACTCCTGGATCAGTACCACCAGAGGTATTGGTTTGTTATGGGAACATGGAGGACTTTGCGACTCAATAGATTTAACGTGCATCAGTCACTATTTACCACACAGGGAGTCTTCGGCCGGCGGGGATCGGACCATGCAGGATAATTAATATGAATAATTATGTATAAGTTTACTTTTGTCTCTAATCTCATTTATTATTCTACCAGAAAATATATTTGCAAATGAAAGAGACGCCTAGTATAAATAAATTCTAATTCTAATATTTTTAAATAAAATAGACAAGAATTTTTAGATATAAATGTTACTTTTATCTCTAATTACATTTATTATTCTACCAGAAAATATATTTGCAAATGAAAGAGACGCCTAGTATAAATAAATTCCAATTCTAATATTTTTAAATAAAATAGACAAGAATTTTTAGATATAAATGTAATCGATGATTTCTTGAACTTTCTGGACCTTGGAGTTCCAGAAACTTCCGGATTGCGGTAAGAGAAAAATCCGGAAATTTACGGAACACAATCATCTCTGTTACTCTTTTTTTTAAAATTTTTTTTTTTTTTAATAAATAAATAATCTCCCCCCCCCCCTTTTTTTTTT